TTCTTTCCCTACCGCGATCTCCTTTTCCTATCGCTCCTCACATCGTACCTCATCTGACATTAGTATTCTAGCGCTACCTCGATACGAAAATGATACGGGTCGGCACACGGCTTCTCGGCTGGCTTTTTAGCCGCCGGGTTGACCGTCCCGATTTTGCTATTCCCTTCGTCCATAAGTCCGAAAGCCTGAGGACCCAAGCTGCTGGATTGGTCGGGGTTTAAATTTCAATTTACTCTAGTCCAATGCAGCCAAAGCGGGTGCCCCGGCGGCACGGCGCGTGTTCGCGCCAACCCAAAACAGTCACACACAACACGCCGCGCGTTTTCGTGATTGTTTTAATGCGGTGATCTATTTTTAGTCACGCGTGGGGTGGTTTCACGGACCGAGAGACTTATCTAGCCTAGAAGAGGGGCAAGGCAAGATGAGACGTCCTCAGGGATCCTCGTCTTGACTTTCCTTCGCTAGGTGAGATACAGCCGCTCTTTATCCTCAGGGATATTCGTGTTGACGATGCTTCGCTAGCTCGTCGCGCCAGGCACCGATTATTTTCGTGTCCCACCCACCCGCATTCCTATCTGTATTATTTTGACATCTGGTACTAGTACACGCAAAACTGGCTGGTTGCCGTTTTGATTACTCTTTTCGTAGTGATTCTGTACGCGCTACCTCGATACGAAAATGATACGGGTCGGCGCACGGCTTCTCGGCTGGCTTTTTAGCCGCCGGGTTGACCGTCCCGATTTTGCTATTCCCTTCGTCCATAAGTCCGAAAGCCTGAGGACCCAAGCTGCTGGATTGGCTCGTCCTCAACGATCGGACACTCTCGAACTCGTCTCTCTTGGGTTATACCTATCAAAAAGCGTCACGGGAAGAGCTTCAGAGGCGCCCGAGCATGGATCTGGAGCAATGATACTCATTCGAGACAGACTCAAAGTTGAGCGTTAAACTTGAAGCCTCCACAGGTACCAACTGCCTGATGAGCTTGCGAGACGTGAGTGTTGGCGACGAATAGTAATTTCGATGCATATTACTACTGAAACAGATTCGATGTTCGATACGGTATCGTACAAAAATATAGTACTACAAAGCGATTTTGCAAAGCAATGACGACGAAATGCGAGGTGGGTATGCGGTGGGGTATACAAATGCTAGTGCGGCCGAAGATGATAAATATAGATAAAGGAGCCCCACGTAGGTGGAGAAAGTCAAAATGGAAGGGCGAAATGTAATGCAGGTCGGGCGTGATGGGGCATGACGGTCGACGTCAGGGGCGGTGCGATGATGATACGAGGTACAAGGTTTTGGCGGATGCGGATAGGCGTGAAAAATGCAAGGAGCGCAGCGCTTATCCATAATAGACACTGGACAAAGACGGAACGTAAGTGATATGCTCAGGTAAGCGACGAGCACGGAGCACTAGACTCACCCTCGCGATGTCGTGGATATCGGCTGGAAGTCGGTGCGGCCCGATTCGACAAAGTGGTGGAGCACGCTGGCCCAGTCCTCCCGGGTGTCCCAGGAGATCTTGCTCGGCGGGTCGACCTCGACGGGCATGACCTGCGAGACGCCGTTGCACTGGATTATGATCACGAGGGTGCCGATGCCGCCGTTGTGACGACACCGTTCCTCGCGTCGCTGGATATCGGAGATAACGAGGGGATCCCGGATGTAGTTTCGAGGAACGACATGTGTGGAAGCCACCGAGAAGCTGTGGAGCGGAGGATACAAAGTCAGTTATGCCTGGAAAGGATAAGGTGTGGAGGTCACGCACCGACGGTATGACTCGGAATGACGGCCGTGGTAGTTGAGCTCGATGAGGAGGGCGCTTTGGCGGACATTAGCAGGGATACGCTTTAGCTGTAGCGCTTGGAAGCCGGCCCACTGTAGTAGTGAGGTGTGAGCGGAAGTGAATTTCCGGAGACCCTTTGCGAGGTTCTCATCGGCGTATGCAGCACCAGCGGACTGCTGCTTTACACTGGAGATCTGGCTGGCGGTGTGCTGGCAGATGGGCTTGTGTGAAGGCCAGTGGATCTTTTGGCAGTCTTGTGACTATAAAAGATAAGTCAGTCGATGATATCTTTGACATAACAGAAAGCGACATACACAATACTGAGTGGTCATCTGTATAACAGGTGATGATCATGTCAGTAAGGTGACAGCGAAGGAGGTAAAAGGCAACGCACGCAACCACCACATAGTCGGAATTTGGCAGAAGGACTCTCTGCTGTCCCGCACTGGTCGCAGATGCGGTAACCCCTTTGCTTGTGCATCGACATGGGAGGGGTATTGTAGTTGGCGGCAGCGGGCTGGGCGTAGTAGGCCATGGGTACTAGGCTGAGGGGTGTTGTGTGATACGACCGTAGAGGCGTGATGTTCTGACTCCATTGTTAAGAGGTTATATAGGAATGGAGGCGGTACGCGTGTGTGAGCGAGTGTGTAAATGGATATGGAGTCAAACAAAAAGTGGACCGGCAAGCGCCCGACGCTTTTGTTCTGCACTCTTCCATAGTTTGTTATGGAAGGTCTATAGGCGTTGTAAGGTTTTCCAGATTCTTCCAAGACAATACGATTAGCGGATTGAAAGGGTATGAAATCCAATCACGCGGGACTCAAAGACAAAAAGCAGCGCTTAACCGGGGTTACCGCATTCGGACACTTCATATCTGAACACAAAAGAGCCAGCCCTCTGTGTTCACAAGAAGGCTTTTCACACAAAAGAAACCTATCGGCATCATCTTAAAGGATCTTCTCTGTCAGAACACGCCCAAATCAAGGATCCTGAAAGGTCGTCGGTCGAGGTCGCTTCTCTCGAGACAAGATCGACTAAGATCGACTTCAATTTGCAAATGTCGGATACGCCGGATATTCTCCTGAAACAGGATTCACCAATTTATGCCCTTCCATCTTCATGTTGCTTTGTTCTGGCATATGGACGCCGGCGTGGTGCAGGGCTCTTTGCGGCAACATTGCGGGACCCTGCAGGACCTGTGCGTGGTAAAATGTTGATCCTTTCCTTACATCCGAGTCGGTGATCATTGATCCATCCGTACGGCATTTTTCACTGATGTCACATCTTCACATCCTTCACACATTCACATTTATCCACCTTGTTCGTTTATTTCTGGGCCTGACGACACTCGAGGTGCCTTTCTTTCGTCCTCAGCGGCGCCCCTCCAACGGCCTCTGCATATTCCCCAGGCTGCTGTGGTGGACCGATACGCGTCCGTGGTCGATGCGGAGCTCGTTGGCACAGATGGACATCAGTTTCTGCTCCTTTCGGCAGTGTCGTTTCTCACTGCACGCCAGCGGACACACATACTACGACGTCAACGTCGCATGCGGTGCTGCAGTAAGTCTTTGGGCGTCTACGTCACATCTTCGTGTGATAGCTGATGATTCTGGTGCCAGCCTGTGATGCCATTTCACATCGTGGACGCCTCTCATCAGCTTCGACAAAGCAGTCTTGTGGGCGTCATCAGTTATGTCTCCCAATGGTACACCTCGTTGCCGTACTAATCACATTAACGGGGTATTCAGATCCCAGAGCATCCCTTGTTTGACCCACGCGTGTCTTGGGGGACTTGATAGCAGAGCTGCGGCACGTTTGGGAAGGGGGATGTGGATCCACGACGCGTCTGATAGCGACCGGCGGTGTTAGCGTGCTTAATTCCCATGGAGGAGGTGGCTCCAATCTAAAGCATTCCCTCCCGAATCCTGGACCCCGCAATATCTGCGACGTTGGGCGTGATAGCCACCAGCGCCTCTCTCAGCCTTCTATCACGACACGCGTATCGGCACGCCTTTGGGACGGTTTCAGTATCGGAACAGGACTCATGTACATCACCACGCACCTTCCGCAATTCTATATTCTGGTATCCTTCGAAGATCAATTGTATCCTTCCGGTCTTTCAGGACTTGGTTCAAAATGGCGGAAAAGATCGAAGACACTTCACGTATTCGCACGCCTCTCCCTACAATCGCGGCCTCCGCTCTCCCCACTCCATCTTTTCGATGAAGTCAAGAAAATTTAGGGGGAAATGTTATGCAGCCCCGCTGGTGCAGCTGCAACACTCTCTTTCCACGTTGCGCTGAGGCGATGATCACTTAGCCTGGGGAAGGACTCGTTCGATTCGAGCGCGAGGCCATTATCTGGCTCAGAGAACCTTTTGGTTCGCTCCGACGCGTAACGGCTCGAGCTCCAGGAAGTTGGCTTGTTGTCTTTACTTGGGAGGACGGCGTCAACTACGACCGCACTCGAGCCAGACAAGCCGCATTCCACGACTGTTGAAACACCCAGCACCTCCTGTATACCCTATTACGCCATCGCCTGACGATTCACCAATCAATACTATCTTCATAGCTCGAATGTGCTTCTTCCAACCCTTCACAAATATTTTTTGGACGATTTGATTACATACGATCGAAGTCGCTCAGCACACAAGTCACACGATACTGCACGACCCCTACGTCCACAAGAATACATCTTGTCTATGACCCTTGGAAATCTTGAGCGACACGATCTCTCCGCCCATGTGTTGTAGCGGCGGCATACCACACATGTTACGGAAGGAAGGGACACTTGGTCTGGGGAAATGCTGGTCCGACTCAGGCGTGGGGCGACACAAAGATTAGATCTTTTTGGTTCGTCTCCATGCGTAATCACTCGAAGTTCGAGGAGTTGGCTTATATCTTTTATCTTCAGTGCGCTCCTCCAGTCATGTCGCACTTTCGCAAGGTACTAGAGGAGAGGCCGAAAGATCATGTTACGCGGCAGCCCGTGGGTACTCCGTTGCCCCTGCGCTCGACGATATATCAGATACACTTGGGGGAAATGAACTCTTCGCGGCTCGAGATCGCCGTTAAGCCTTCCGGAACCTCGTTGAAACGATTTTATGTGATAGGCTTCGAGTGCAGCAACTCGGGGCGCCCCACCTCGTTTCAATCTCTCTCTGGCACTGCGTTCCGCGCAGTTGAGGAAAGTTAGGCGTCCATAATCAACTGCCCCGCTGGTGTAGTGGCAACACGCCTCATCTACGTACTATCGACATGATGCCACAGTTAACTTGGGAGAGGCTCGTTCGATTCGAGCGTGGGGCAATGGATGGGTATCCGACACCTTTTGCGTCTTCACAACGCAAGGTTCAGTGATTGATATGCTTTGCATCAGTACACTGTACCCTCCCAGTCCGGTAGCCCTCCGACAAGATATCTCGCATTTTGCCAGCAGAGGCCGGTAGATCACGCGACATAGCGACTCCTGGATTCCAGCCCCCGACGATCCATTGAAGAAATCAACTCTTCGTGGCTCGAAACGGCACTTCGTGCCTTTCAGCATCATCCTTTTGGAGGTTTTTGATCGGGGCAAGGTTGAAGCAACACAACATATTCATCGCACATACCGTTCCCTTCAATTAACGACATCGTCGCTTCCGGCCTACACATCCCAGGCGGACTTTACAAAGTTTGAGTAACACTATTATATAGCCCCGCTGGTGTAGGGGTGGTCGCACATTCCATGGCGACGACGTCGATAACTGGTCAATCCGGGGAAGGCTCGTTCGACTCGAGCCGGGGGCATGGAAGGTCATGCGAAGCTTGCAAAAACGTTTTGAGTAGGTTTTTTAGATACTTCACTACTCGGGTTCGGGAAGTTGATTTGCGTCCTTTCCCTCTTAAAGCACTATGCCTATGACTGTGCTCGCCCTTACGCAGGATTTTTCGCTTTGCAGAAGACTCCACAGCGGAGGCTAACAGACCGATTAGATGGCGATTCATTGAAAAACCATTCGAAGAATCGACTCTGCGTGGCTTGAATCTACCCTTCCAGCCTTCCAAAATTCTGTAACATCCACATCTTTTTCAGCGCTAAAAGATCTTTCGGCAGCCGTCTTTGGATGGCCCGCTGGTGTAGTGACGACACGTCCCATGTCTCTGGAATTTCATCAGGTACCACTTAGCCTGGGGAAGGGCTCATTCGACTCGAGTGCGGGGCCAATGGCTGGTATGGATTTTGGTTCGTTCACATACTTGACTACTCAAACTTCAGGAAGTTAATTTGTATCCTTATCTCTAGAGCATGCTCGCGACGTAATGGTCGCCCTCGAGCAGGAAATCCTCGCTTTATGCAAGATTCCAACACAGGCTAGTAGATCGAGCACACGCTTGCTATTTCTCGATTTCATCAAATAACCATTTGAAGGATCGACTCTTCGTGGCCTGAATCTACGCTCTTGGCCTTTCAGAAACTCTTTTGAACGTTTACTCGAATGCTTTCAGCATACGCACTGCACGTCACACCATCCTTTTCAATCCACGAAATCCACTTCCCTCAGCCTCCACGCTGTTTTCGGTGCTGTTGCGGAAGATTCGGCAGTAATCTTTGACTGCCCTGCTGGTGCAACGGCAGCACGCCCTATACATGTCCCTTGGACGCGAGATGAACACTTAGCCTGGGGAAGAGCTCGTTCGACTCGAGCGCAGGGCAATGTGGCACTACAGTAACCTTTTGGCTCATCTCGATGGACACAAGTTCGTCGAAGTTACAGAGGTTCATTTTCAGCCTTCCTCTCGAGCCCCAGTAGTGCCCGTTACGGACTGCTCAGACTGGATTTCGCAATCTTGCCCGTTTTGATGCAGCCCCTTGCTAAAGATTCTATTACCTCATCCTGGCGATCCATCATCGCATGAAATCATTGCAAGCCGGAAAGTCTGTGCGGGTGCCTGTCTCTACGAGATCCATATCAGGAATGACTCATTGCTCCACGTCAGTAAGTAGTTAAAGGACATCTTGCTACAACATGATCTCCGCTACTGGAATAGCTCTATCCTGCATGGCTTCTGGAAAAAGTATGACCTTCACCTCTCCAGTTGCGTCGGTGGCGATCAAGTTTGCAGATTTCGACATTGATCCCATATCTGGCTTCTTGCCCTCCCAAGCCCCCCTTTCTCGCCTCCCGCCTGCATGGAAACCATGGGAGTCAGCTTTAGAGGATGCAACGAGCCAGAAGCTTCAGCTGGGTGCCGCTCCGGGGCTCTCTGAAGAGGAGAAAGCGAAATCGGAGTCGTGGCGGAAGCGTGTAAGAGAGGTGCGCAATATTGCTCGTATCATTGGCGATCTCAGACTGGTCATTCCCGTAGCTCGCAGTTCTCCCCATGATGGATCTCAAACAATACGAGGTCAACATGCGCCGTGCCCATCTTGTGCTCACCTACCTACTCCATTTCTATGTCCACACTCTGCCTCCAGACGTGGAGATTCTCATTCCAGCGTCAATATCGTTGCCTTTACTTCAAGTTAGTGCAGAGCTGCAGGGTCCCCCTGTCATGGCATATTCCGACGACATCATGTACAACTGGGCTCTCAGGAACCCCACAGCAGATGGGCTTCCCACTTCGAGTAACCTTCGCTCCCAAGCCTCGTTCACTGGGGCCATGGACGAGGAGGCATTCTACCTCGCGCCTGTGAGAGTCGAGTTGAGAGGCGCAGAAGCACTGCGGTTGATGCAGACCATCCTAAGCGACCTATCCCTCAGCAGCGCAGATGTCATACCGCGCATTACCGAATCGCTCATGAACTTGACTACAGTCATCAAAGACCTCCGAACGGTGCTTCTCAGCGTCCGCGAGGACTGCAGCCCCGACTTCTTCTATCGCCATATCCGCCCATGGCTCGTCGGCGCCGACTCAGACCCCAACAACCGACCATGGATCTTCGAGGGCATTGATCGCGACCCCAGCCTCAAAACACCTACAGACCTATCCGGCTCCAGTGCAGCTCAGAGCTCGCTTATCCAGGCGCTCGACATCTTCTTGGGCATTGCGGGACCCGGCGTGGGTGGTCCTGTGGTCGACGCGTCGTCGATTAGTCTTAGTGCGTCCTTCGCTCGGCGCATGCGGGTGTACATGCCCCGGCGCCATCGGGAGTTCCTTGAGCGCCTCGGGTCGCTGAAGGGGTCGCTGCGGGACTTCGTGACCAGGATAGAGGACGCGAAATTGTCGGAGGCGTATAACGCTGCTCTGCTAGCGCTGAAGGAGTTTAGAGACGGGCACATGATTATCGTCACGTTGTACGTTATCGGTCCGTCGAAATGTATTGCGCGTGAGGAGGAGAACGAGGGGACAGGGCCGAAGGAGAAGCTGAAGGGTTCGGCAGGGGGAGATTTGGCGCATCTTTTGAAGGACTTTAGGGAAAAGACTACTAATGCCCTTCTGCCCTGATTTAGAATCCAGTGATAGACCACTATGCTGCCCTCCTCTGCCCTCCTACTGCAAATACCTCGGTCTCGAATGTTTTCTGTCTCCGCCATTTCCTCAGTCCTGATCATCGTAGCACAGCCACTATCGGAAATTAAAGGCTCGTGTCCATTTTAGGTCACATCTGATAAGATCAAACCCGGTCCGATAACGATTTTTGATGAGTCCCCGGAATTTGTCACGACCACAACGAACTTTGTAAGGAGACAACATACACGATGCCACTTCTTCCTTTACAACGGCCACGCTGATTGACTGTCGACTCATCCCCACATATAACTCTCTGTCGACTGTGGCGCGATAGCGTCTGAGGATCCTTGGTATTTCGTCTGGATCAACGTACCACAAAAAATGAATTCGGATCTTGTTTCCAGTCACTTCCTATCGCTACCTCGCCCTGACGTCCTTGCTGGACCACCAGCAGGCGTCCCAGACACCACCACCCTTGCTGCTCATGATTTCGATGTCGATACTCGAACGGGTTTTATGCCCCCTCAGCCCCCTCTCTCCCGACTGCCATTAGAATGGGAATCCTGGGAGTCGACATTAGACGAAGCGAGACGTTTACAGTTGAAGCTTGGAGATACTCCGAACATCTCGGATGACGAGCGAGAGAAGTCGGAGACATGGCGGAGACATGTGCGAAATGTATGTCTGAACTTCGTTCTCTGATGCGATCGTGACTAATGCCCGTATAGCTTGCTATCCTTCCTATCACTAAGCTCCAGACGTCGGAACTCTATCTGCGGCGAGGTCACCACGTTCTAGGATTCATTCTCCATTTTTATATCCACTCCCTACCACCTGATGCGCAGGTCGTGATCCCAGCTTCTATCGCTCTTCCCATGCTGCAAGTCAGCGCTCAACTACAACTTCCTCCCGTCCTCACATACTCTGATAACGTCCTGTACAACTGGGAGCTGAAGTCAACACCAACAAATCCGGATAGTGTGCCGGCGCTGGATAATCTTCGGAGCCAGACACTTTTTACAGGGACGACCGACGAGGAGGAGTTCTACCTCACTTCCTCAAGAATAGAGCTTAAGGGTGTCGAGGCCCTCGAGCTAATGCAGATTATCATGGACGAAGCGTTCGTCGGTGATGACATAGCCACGCGGCGCATAACGGAATACCTGCAGAAGCTGTCCACCGTCATCCAGGAACTACGATCGTTGCTTCTGGCCGTCCGAGACACCTGTAATCCGGATATCTTCTACCACCTAATTCGCCCTTGGTTCCGCGGCGTAGATTCCGACCCCAACAACCGGCCATGGGTGTTTGAAGGCATCGAGGCAGATCAAACCCTCCAACTGCCCACAGAACTATCTGGGCCCAGCGCGGGCCAGAGTTCGCTCGTCCATGCTCTGGACGTCTTCCTCGGCGTCGACCAGTACTCGCATTCGAGTTCCCTAACGGGATCATCTACCTCTTTTGCGACGAAGAAGTCGGCGTTCCTGGATCGGATGCAGCTTTACATGCCGCGCCACCATAGAATGTTCCTCAACCACCTGTCAGGCAATCCGCGACCGCTGCGTACGATCGTGTCCTCATCAAACAACCCCGAGTTGTTAGAGGCGTACAACGCTGCTGTGCTTGCACTGAAAGAGTTCAGGGACGCACATATGATCATTGTTGCGCTATATATCATTGGACCATCGAGAAGACAGGCGCTGAGCGCTACTGATACAACCGCACTGGTGCGGCCAGATTTCAAGAAGGATTATGGAAGTGTAGATGACCTGAAGGGCACTGGTGGGACGGAGCTTGCCAGGTTTTTGAAAGACGTTCGGGATCGTACCGCCGGCGCAGTCATGCCTGCGACATAGAGTTGGAAATAGATTATGTGTAATGTAAGTCTGTACTTCGATGGATCTTTATGGCGCCGTTTTTGCTGGAACAAACCGAAGCGACAGTGGCAGTGACAGTTTGCGATATTTGGGTTTTGACGTCATCTCCGAAAATTACACTCTGCCTGCGACCGCCACAGGCATATTTTTTAGCAACAACATTGCCCCCGAACTCGTCGACGACCACTGTTGACGACATGAAGAACCACCTGGTCTGTGGTATACACTGCACAGATGACGCGGATTCATCTTGATCTCATCATTCATCCTACGTCTTGGCACTGTCTCGACACGGACCTTGACTATCATCCGTATGTCAATGACGTTGATCGTGGCTCCAGGCGGTAAAGAGATATGCGACTACCGACTGGTGCGAGGTAAGAATCTGTGCGCCATATGAAACTGATATAAAACCTGTACCTGGGTCAAACATGTGTATTTCAGACGCGATATATAAAAGGACAGACTATCTTAACTTCTCTACGACAGGTAGATGAGTCAATTATCCAGTCTAGCCGCATAATATCGTCAAAAACCTCTCGACAAAAAAGTAGGCAGACCATGGGAAACCAAGAGACAGCTTATGATCGAGACGCTCTAGACCTTACCAAAACGCACATGCCGCCCGCACTGTTCCTACGTCAACATCCCTAGTTGAAGCCCGACTCCCCATATGTGTGCCTTTTCTGATGGTGGGCCATACAAAAGGTCGGGGCTAGTTTCAGAGGCTGTGGAAGCAACCACGGGTAAGACCCGACGCACCGTATAAAGTGAGTTGCGGAACATACCTAGTCCACTTCAAACATTGAATCGTAATTCTTAGCTGTAATGGATCTCCACAAAGGGTCTGCCATTATCCAGGACGCGCATGTGTTCGACGTCGACCCGCAGTCGGGGTTTATGCCGCCTGAGGCCCCCCTATTGCGGCTTCCTACGTCATGGGAACCTTCCGAAGTCGTACTGGACGCTGCTATAGCCGCGAAACTTCAATTAGGGGACAAGCCAGGGTTACTAAAGAAGGAGAAGAAGACGTCAGCATCATGGCGCAGGCGTGTTCGCCAAGTACGCAAGATTGCTTTTACGACCCGTTCAGAAGAAGGTTGACCTTCATCCACAGCTACCCTTGCTTTCCACCACGGAGCTTGAATCATCCCACCTACTGCTGCGTCGAGCGCATCATGTCCTCACCTACGTCATGCATTTTTATATCCAATCCCTCCCACCAGACGCCCCGGTTTTAATTCCGCGCCCCATATCACTGCCTGTGCTACGCGTCTCGGCACGCCTCGATATACCGCCGCTACTTACCTTCTCCGACACTGTGTTGTACAATTGGACATACAAGTACCCTTCAGAGACGAAGGTACCCGCGATTGATAACCTC